AGTTACTCCCAGAGTAGACATTTTCAGTTCCGATGTAATCCATGATTTTACCTAAATTAGTACCCAAAAATAATTACTTCAGCTCGATGTTATGTCTTCACTAGGGTTTTGGATGGATTAATTACTCCAAGGGATTTCACTCTACTAACTTACTTGGAAAATGGAAGTCTAGGCTCTGTTGATTTCCCCACCTCACCTTTCCGTCAAATCCACCAACACTTTCAGCAATGAGGTGACAATTGAAGTATTCATTCTTCCGAACATTTTCTGGACAGGTGAAACTCAATCTCTCAATTGAGATTGTTCTATTGAATTCCACTTTGTAGGAAGTCATAGCAACCTGCACAAAGAAAAACATATTTATTTTTAAGCAAACAAACTTTGATCAAAAATTGTTTATTTTAATCAATGGGAAGAACAATTGAAACAAGCCAATATTTAAGCCCAAAAGTAATTTTCTTAGACTTAGTTGTCAAACTTAAAATGTAATTAAATTCCATCTATATCAACATTGATAAGCCTTGTAAATTAAAATGCTTCCAATTGTTCTGCAGTGTACTAGAAACTTAGAAAGGGTTATTGTGTAGGGCAGAAAATAGAAACGAATGAATTGGTCTAGAATTTCTTGATTGTAATCACAGTACACTGTAGATTTTCTGCATAAACTCAAATATAACCAGTCTCTTAAGGCTGAGATCAATATTTGCGCTTGTTGCTCCTCAATACGCATAGAAATCTCTTATCTGCGGAGCCACAGATCAGTATTTAAATGATTCAATTTATCCGCATTAATCTACCTTCACCCATCCATTCAAATATTGCTCCATGGTATGATTAGTTAAAAGATGCGTCTATATTATCGGTTTTCAGTTGATCAGGCAAAATAAATTATTTCTTACCTTAGTATTTTCATAATTGAGACTGAATTGGATATCTCGTGACTGTGGAACGGACGAGATGAAATTGATTTCAGATGGGGGAGGTTTTCCAAGAGTTTCCAATAGAGATTCTGGTAGTATTTTCATGGTTAGAGTCATGTCATTTAGGCGATTTGTCACTTCGGTGGGCACCACTTGATATCCCAAGTTTATTCGTTGTGCACCACCTACCAAAGTTGGGATCAAAGTCCCCAGAGTTGCCTTCAAAGATAAAAAGAGCAACTGTTAAAAACAATGCTAATATTTGCCCTTATGATTATATCTGCCTAGGTTATGCCTACAAATAAGACCCTAAGTTATGAAAACCATTGATAACAGTTTAGAGGATGTTGTGGAAGAACAGTTAATAATTCCAGTAGGATAATAGGATTTCTTATCGCAAGTCAGTTTTACCTAAAGTAGTAGGTAGAATACGCAAACACTCGGTGCTTTATAGAGTCGTATTGCTAGTTCAATGGAATTTGAACTGCATTATGGAATATATGGTTTTTCAAAGTACTGCATTTAATCGCTTCTTGATCAATAATTTTGAAATGAGCGACCGTGCGTAAACTCCTCATCATTTGAATGGAAATGACCTATACCATTTTCGATCAAACTTCTTTCATTGCTGTATTTAAACGTGAAAGCACTCCACTTCATTTTCGAGAAGGCGTTACAATTTGGCAGTTACTGTTCATCTCAACCTCTCCTCTCCCTCCCAACCTTCCATAGATTTGAGCTAGTAACTTTTGTCTTTGTCTTCCAAATTGGTAAAAAAGTGAGAAAACACTATGAATTTCTCCGCTTTCAAATGCATTTGGACAAAGCCTAAATATAATGTATAATAGCGACGTTATCGCTTAAGCCTCATATCTACACTCAACGGCAGTAACTTAGCATGATACCCTCTTGTCAAATAAACTCCAACCAGAAATTTTCCTTGACTTCTAATGGCTAGAAGAGAGGAACGTGTAAAGGCTGTTCAATATTTAGTTCGTTTCTGAGTTCATAAGCATGAGATCAAGCAAGAAGTGTGATATCAAATCCGATGGTATAAACTTTTGAACAAGAGAACTTGATAAAGTAAGCAAAATCCAGTGTGAAAAGTGGACAGATTAGAATTTGCAGAAACTCAATAAAGTGGGATTCGTTTAATCCTGAATTCAATATCATCTTATCACCCTCTTTCACCTTTTAATGGGTTTGGTTCTCTTCTTGACTAATTTAGATATTTACCTTCGGTTAATTCATGATACCTTTACCCTTATATGGGCATAAGCAATAAATGATCGTTTAGTTAGAGAAAAGAAAATAGTATCAGACATAAGAAATTCCTAGAAAATTCCTACAATGACTTACGTCAATCACAGCAGTGACTCCCTTTCCAGGTCTACACCGAATTTCAATCGGGGATATGGGACAAGTGTATGAGTTTCCTACCATATCCGTTGGAATATTACCACACATGCAAATAACGGTGTCTATCAAAGCTGAACAATCGTAGGACAACTTCCTACATTGCAGATTGCATGACTCAGCATCCAACTGGGAAAGGTAACACAAATTAATAATTTGTACTAACAAATAATAAGTAGGAATTACTGAACTTACTCCGTAGTGCGATGCATAAGAGCAGTAGTGGTATGCTTGGAAAATTCTCTCATTATCACACACGTCAGTCACAGTGGACTGGTAACTTAAATATTGAAACGTGAAGAATACCTAAAGCCAAAACAGATGCGTTAAATTTGCATTAGTTTTGATTTCGGGTGGTTGATAAATGCACATTTAAACACTTCTTTTATGGAAAATTATTTCCAAGTTATTTTTCGAAGTGAAAATAGAGAATTTTGTACTGTTATAATTTTCCTATATCAAAAAACATGTAATTTACAAAATCAGTACACCAAATCAATACCACAGATAAAGATGTGTTGCAGATGGCTCCGTGAAAAAGTCATGTCTCGTCCAGAGTAATCCGTATGGCAAAATAGCCTGATTGAGAAATGTTCCCTTAACACGCATAATTACATCAACGATAAAGAGGAAACAGACTTTTAGTGAGTATAGAGTTTATTGAACTTGTACTCACAGCAAATATGATGAGTAATTTAATGAATTTAATATTCTTTGAGGTGGGGTGTGCGATAGACTTACCTCCACGTGGTGCACCCTACAAGGGGTGTGCGATAGACTTACCTCCACGTGGTGCACCCTGGTGGGTGTGCGATAGACTTACCTCCACGTGGTGCACCCTGGGAAACGTATACTCATACGGTAAAAAGTCTATTAACCGGAAGTTTGTGTGCGATAGACTTACCTCCACGTGGTGCACCCTGGGCAGCGTATTTTCTTACGGCAAAAAAGTCTATCACTCGGCTTTCGTTATATTCATACGGCAAAAAGTCTATTAACTGGCAGTTAACTACGATAGACTTACCTCCACGTGGTGCACCCTGGGCAACGTACTTTCTTACGGCAAAAATTCTATCACTCGGCATTCGTTTTTCAATAGACTTACCTCCACGTGGTGCACCCTGGGCAACGTATATTCATACGGCAAAGTCTATTAACTGGTAGTTGACTTCTCCGCATACGGCAAAAAAGTCTATTAACCGGCAGTTTTCTTCTCACTTCAAACTACCATGACCCCCCTATATGTCCTACATTCTCATACGGCAAAAAAGTCTATTAACCGGCATTTGACATGACTTCAAACTACAATCACCCCACTGTATGTCAAATTCGACTACTTGACTTCAAACTACCATCATCCCACTCTATGCCATATTCTAACTTCAAACTACCACGACTCCCCTGGTTGTCATATTCGACCCCTTACACAGTACTCATCTTACCTATTCGACCATTTTCGCAATACTCACCTCACCTTTGTTCTACCTTTGTATTCGTCTCTTACATCTTTGAAACACTCCTCTCTTCCCCCTCTCGACTTTTTTCAAGTTGATGTTCCTTCCCCTCTGTGAAGCCTGAAGGCAACCAAAGGGCTAATGATAACCATCAAGACGCCTGCCATTTGATATAAATAAATAAATAAATATTCTTTGAGGTAATATTAATATTTGATAAGCTGGGAAGTCCAGCCGCACACACGGTAACACTCTCCAGAATGTTTAGGTACACTGTTTAATCGTGCTTGGATTGAGTTTACCACTGAAGCCCTTCTAACCTCACATTCTGTATAAATTGTAACTAGAAAATTAATTTTCCTTATTCCTTAAGTAGCAAAATCATTTTATGCATGAAGTACATAAGCCTCCTGGTCAATTTTAATGCATTCATGTAATTTGTCGAATTTTAAAAGACCAACCATTGTATTCTGAAATATTTCTATTTAAAGTAATTGGAAGAAACAGTTGCTACAAACTAAAAATTTACAAAAACTAAAAACGAAAAAATTGATTACTGTCAAAATTCAGGAAACAAGCCTGTATTATATGTAAGCACTTTGCAGTATGTTCAACTCTTTTACTTACAACTTTAGTCAAACTACGACAAGATATTTAAAGTAAGGAAAGTTCCAGATTACTTTAAAATTTAGTGAATATTAACTTACAAGGTATATGAGGAAGGGCTGCATAATCTTCACAATTTTCCTTAGCGCCTAATAGGACTCACCAACGAGGAACATTAAATGATACTAAACACAAAAGACCGTTTACTTTTCATGCCCCATGCTCTAGAAATGGCAACAAGAATTCTGTTCAAACTAATTTGAATGCAATTTGTTGCTATGGTGAGTAGAGTAAGGTCTCAATTAAATGTAAAATAGCACTTTTAAAGCCATATAATCGAAATTACTTGAACATGTTGAGGATGAGAAACCATAGATATTAAAATGGTTGCTATGACACTAAGAGACAGGGAGATATCAAAAGTAGCAGCTACTAGGAAACGGTGCTTTCTTCATGGTATACAATGTTGATTTATTGCTACAATAATTAAATGTCTTCATAAAACCGCGCTGTCTTGAAGAGCGAATGCTTGCTTGCACTTTCCATTGCAAATCGATAATCGATTTCTGATGGAGATAATTGCAAGAGAGAAGATGGTCTTATGGAGTATTTGAGCGATAATAAGAGATTCCACCGAATTAGAAGAGATTTGTTGCATTAATATACATGGATACAAAAGGGACAGACTAAATAGAGTACATTTATTAAAAAATGGAGCAAAATTGGTGTCCAATTAGTTCAATCAAGATCACTTTTAGGCATGCTCAACGAAATTTTATTAGATTTGAGGCAGACGTTGGTGCGATTTCCCATTTCTATGACCCTTAGTTGCCCTTCATAAAGGTATCACCATTCAGACTCTATGAAGAAGGCAAGAATAGGCCTGTAGCCCAAATAGATGT